CTAAAGTCTCTTCTCTTTTGCTATGTCTTGCGACCTTGAAATTCTGCCGCTGGTCTCTGCACGTATGACTTTCCTCTTCAGTGGGGCGAATACGATCACCCCATCCTCGTCGAGGTTTATCCCAATGGATGGTTGACCCCAGCCATCGCTGACAATTGGCTGGCGACGAAATGCTCCGACCACGTTAATGTAGCCATGCACTCCGCTTCTTTTCGAATTGTGAAGTTATTTGAGCTAGCTCATGCGGAAATTTGAGTAGGCTGTTTCGGGTGGTTTGTCTTGTTTTTTTTGTGTTTGCTGGGGCAGAAGGATATGATTCCCATACGAAGAATTCGGTCTAGACGTCGAACGAATGCGGAGTTGCCGTTGGGCACTGTGACCCTGGAAAATGCTATTGGAGTATTTGGTACCCGACAGGAGGCCCGTCGCGCGGCAACAGAGTCAGCGGACGAGTCGCAGCGCGTACTGTAGTGATTTCGCGTCAAGTTAAATAGAATGTACCATTGTACGTCCTACATCGCACATCACGCGCTGCAACTCGTCCGCTGACTCTGCCTTCTTGCCGCGCGACGGGCCTCCTGTCGCATACCCGTCGTACCCGTACATCCTCACCGTAGTATGCTTTAGCATGTACTGTGTCACTGGCTTCTTGACGATTTGACAATCCAGATTGAAAAAATTGATTCTAAATAGATTAGTTTTTCCATCGGATCTTTGATTTGATGATTGCTATATGTTGGCATGTGGAGGACCAAAGAGGCTTAGATCTGAAACCGTTCCTTTTTGTAGGCTCACTACCGCCGCGGTGAAGCGCTTCGACGTCTGAATTCGGTACTCGAGGCCGTCGTCGCACTGAGTGAGGGAACCGCCTTGGACCCTCTAAACAACCTGATAGTCGATTCACTCACCGAGGCATCACAGCAGTTATTCAGTGAGTGGTTGTACTTGTATTCAATGCTTTTTCAAAATGACAACCACAACAGAGGATTTCCCGCTGAAGCGTCTCGAGGGCCTGGGACTCGAGCGGGACCGATTCACCGTGTTGACAGTGGTAGGACAAGAATTGGCCTCTGCCGGTCATCCTCGAGGTAAGCCACTGTGTTCGCGATCAGATTAATATAGCCCTTCTTCCATCCATAGAATCGCTGCTTTGGTGACCATTCATGAAAAAATGAGCGGAATTTTTATTGATTCTTGTGAAGCCAAAATAACACTCGCTGAAGAAATACGTAGAAATTCGAACAGTGGTTACAAATGCAAAATCAGTTTTTCAGTAACGACGCTAAAGTTTCCATAATCCAACGGAACAAAGCAGCGGAAGCCCCTAACATACTGCTTTCCTCTTATTCTAATACTTCCCCGTCTTCTTAGAAAAACATTTGGACGCGGCCTCTGGCATTTATTCGATCCTGGGGAGGCATATGGTGGGACAGTTGCTGCCGCCTACATTAATCTCGTTTTTGCAAGGGTGGAAATCTTCGGGGTGAGTGGAACTATCTCGCTTCTGCTTTTTCACCCACCCCACAGCTTCCTTACCTTGCGCAAAATTGGATTACTTCAGGCGCTATGAACTGTCGCGCCACATGCCATCCTCCTCTCCTACTGGGCGAGACCTTGCAATCTTCTCCGCATAGTCCATTTCATAATTTAGAACTTTCAAATACATTAATCTCTGAAAAAGAAGGCTAATGAAGGCTGAGGTTCGCCACTTCAATTAAGGCTTCACCAGAAGTTTGGGACTGACTGAATCAGCCATATTTTCCTATTCTATGCACGGTTTCCTAAGATGGACCTTTTTGCAAATACCTGGTCTTCAGAGGCATCAAAAGTGCTAACCCGTGCTCTGAACCTACACAGCCCATCCCTGCGCCTTCGCGAATCGGCCCTCTCAGCACTGGCATCGGTTCACTATTTGCTTGGAGAGTACCAGAAAGCAACGCTGTACTACGAAAAACAGCTCGACATACGCTCACAACAGGGTAAGTGGTTTGGAAGCGAGTTTCCAAAATACACGGATTCACCAGTTTAGGCGGTCCACTAGCGGACGTGCATGACAACATCGCAACGAGCGCTGAACTAGCAGGCAACTATCTTCTAGCAGTTTCGCACAGGAAGCACCGACTGAAGGTGAGTTCCCAAGTGGAGATTCTACGCCCTACGTTTAGCGAACTATTCAGTTTCTGGAAGGCGCTGCTGAAGCAGACGAGAGACTGAAGATCGCCTGCCTCTGCTGCTCTGCAAGCCAAGCCGATGCGGCTTTGGAACAGTGCGATATCGTCGATCAATTGTTAAACGCTATTGCTGAGGGAGACCGGTCGAGAATCGCAACCGGAATTCGCATCGGTAGAGGGATCGCTTACTCCTCTATGGTAAGAAAATTAGAATTTGAAGAGCAGCAGAAGCGACAGTGAAAGAAGTAGACGTGTAGGGGGAATAAAGTGAGCTCATGAAGTGCATGTGCATCAGATGAGAAC